TCCCCCTCCCTCCTCTCCTCCCTCCTCCCCCTGCTCTTCCCCCCCTTCCTCTGTCTGCCTCACCTGCTTCTTCAGCTCCTCTCGTCCTGTCGCTCACCTCCTCCTCCTCGCAGGCGCGCGACAACGTCTTCGAGATCTGCCTGCCCTCGAGCTCGCAGAGGTCCGACGGCTCTGCCGTCCTGCAAGAGCTGACGGGGCCGGGCGGGAGCAGGTTGAAGGAGCTGGAGGAGAAGCTGGAGGCGAGGCAGCAGCGGAATGAAGTGATGGAGGAGGTGCGATGAGGGGGAGGAGCTGCTGACGTCAGTGACGGTTGCGCTGCAGAAGGTGAACGTGGTGAAGAGTCTGGTGAGGAGAGGAGGGAGGGGAGGGGAGGGGAAAGGAGGGAGCAAGGAGAGGGGGATAGGAGGAGGAAGAGGAGGAGATTGGGAAGGGAAGAGAGGAGAGAGGAGAGAGGAAGAGGAGAGGAGGGCATGAGAGGAGCAAGGAGAACGGGAAGGCAGAGACGTGGGTGTAGGAAAAGGAGGAGAGAGGAGGAGAGAGGAGGAGAGAGGAGAGAGGATTAGAAGAATCAGAGCAGGAGGAGAGAGGGGAGGAGGACAGAGGAGTAGAAGAATCAGAGCAGGAGGAGAGGGTTTCTTTTTGACTTCATTTTACTTTCTCTCACGGTCGTTTGTCAGGAGTCTGCGCTACAACGAGCTGCTAGTCGAATCTACACCCTCGAGATGGAGGTGAAGAAGAAAAGATGCGAGGAGGAGCGAGAGAAACAAGGAAAGACAGAGAGCAGGAAGAACCTTAGAGCCGAGGAGGGGTACGCTCTGCAGGATGGAGGGCGGAGGGGTACGTTCTGCAGGCTGGAGGGAGGAGGGGTAGGTTCTGAGGTGGAGGGAGGAGGGGACATTCTGCAGGCTGGAGGGAGGAGGGTACGTTCTGCAGGCTGGAGGGAGGAGGGGTAGGTTCTGCAGGCTGGAGGGAGGAGGGGTAGGTTCTGCAGGCTGGAGGGAGGAGGGGTACGTTCTGCAGGCTGGAGGGAGGAGGGGTACGTTCTGCAGGCTGGAGGGAGGAGGGGTAGGTTCTGCAGGCTGGAGGGAGGAGGGGTAGGTTCTGCAGGCTGGAGGACCTGGATGTATGAGTCTTCTATGGTTAGAAAACAAGAGTGATCAGCAAATGAAAGGAGCCAGACAATAGAGGATCAGCAGGACGAGGAGCAGGAGGATCGAGAGGAGCGGCAGGACGAGGAGCAGGGAGGGAGGGAGGAGCAGGCAGCAGCAGCAGGGAGTCCTTGGATTCCTTTCAGCTTGTCTGACCGCAATCTGACTTGTCATTCAGATTGCTGACCTGCGATCTCAACATTGCAGATGAAATCTACAAGTCAGCAACCTCTGATGCTATAGAGTGTAAATATACTGAACAATGCTGCTGCTGCTGCTGCTGCTACTTGAATCTTTCAGGACACCCTGCGCAACCTTCCCATCGTCGGCCTCATCCTTCTTGCCACCATCAATGATCATCAATCATCATCATCATCATCATCATCGTCATCGTCATCGTCATCATCATCATCATCACCGTCATCATCTTTCCATCTTTTCTTCGCTCCTTGTTGCTGCTTGTTGTCCTTGACACGTGAAGTGACATGACAAGGGTCAATCACATGCGATGAAGACGCGAGATAGTCGCGCGGACGAGGACAAGGCTCTTTCTTCTCTTGCTGATCTCCATCGCATCTCGTCCTCTCCTCTCCTTCACTTGGATCATCCGCACTGTCCTCCCCATCAAACTGGCGGATCTATAACTCAACGCAAAGAACAGAAAGAGAAGCAGACATTGAAGCAATTGCAGCAGACCAAGAATCGTAGGAACCGGGAAACACTAAGACAAAACAAAAGAAGCACCAAATGCAGTAAACGCCCTTCCCCGCACAGCTGAGGTGCGGGAATGTTTCATCAACACTCCACAAAGTTTCGCACCTCAGCTCAACGTTGGATCCATGACTTGAATGGTGACACTCTTGTAGGGACTTACATCGCATTCGTTGGCTACTCTTGTATGGCATACCCTTGCTGCAGCCCTTCAGCCAGGATATCGTGACGTGCCGAACTTCGTCAATTCATGACTGTAAGAAAATGCACCTAACAATGTTTCATATGATTGTATGGGTGATGCGTGCTGCCTTCAACCAACCAAGAGTATCTGCGAAATCAACAGTCCATGCACATGAAGTTTATTTAACGATTCAGGAGATCAGGGTAAAGATGCTTGCCTCACAAACCTAAAATAAGGTGGACTAAAGTTAACACAGAATTCTCGTATCATTCGCTCCCACCAGCACACAAATTGAGATTTCTGCTCATCTTGTCTTCGCTGCAGACCTCAAGACACTGAAACATTGAAATCGTGAATCTTTTCTAGAACAATCTTGCCCTTCTCTTGTATGATGGTATTCTGCTTGAAGCTGTTCATGGCATCGGAAACAAGATCTCTCACACGAGACTCCATCAGCCGCCTCTGCATGAACAATGTCAGACTAAACTCAAGGATATAAAAATAAACGACCTTTCCAATTGCATTTACATCCAACAGTGCTAGAAATGATACAGCCTCAGCAAATATATCCGGACTGGCGGGATGCTTGCGCATGGCTGCGAGCACGGCCTCGATGCCCCCCAGCCCCGCCATCTTGACACGATTGTCGTCGTTGACAGCCAGGCTCCACAGCGCCCCGCACGCGTGCTGCTGTACATCCTGGCTGGCGGGATGTGCGCGCATGGCTGCGAGCACGGCCTCGATGCCCCCCAGCCCCGCGATCTTGACCTTGTTGTCGTCGTTGGCAGCCAGGCTCCCCAGCGCCCCGCACGCGTGCTGCTGTACATCCTGGCTGGCGGGATGTGCGCGCATGGCTGCGAGCACGGCCTCGATGCCCCCCAGCCCCGCCATCTTGACCTCATTATCGGCGTTGACAGCCAGGCTCCACAGCGCCCCGCACGCCAGCTGCTGTACATCCTGGCTGGCGGGATGTGCGCGCATGGCTGCGAGCACGGCCTCGATGCCCCCGAGCCCCGCGATCTTGACCTTGTTGTCGGCGTTGACAGCAAAGTTGATCAGCGCTTTGCAAGCCCGCTCCTGTACAGGCTGGCTGGCGGGATGTGCACGCATGGCTGCGAGCACGGCCTCGATGCCCCCCAGCCCCGCCATCTTGACCTTGTTGTTGGCGTTGACAGCTAGGCTTGTCAGTGCCCCGCACGCCAGCTGCTGTACATCCTGGCTGGCGGGATGTGCGCGCATGGCTGCGAGCACGGCCTCGATGCCCCCGAGCCCCGCGATCTTGACCTCATTGTCGGCGTTGACAGCCAAGTTGATCAGCGCTTTGCAAGCCCGCTCCTGTACAGGCTGGCTGGCGGGATGTGCACGCATGGCTGCGAGCACGGCCTCGATGCCCCCCAGCCCCGCCATCTTGACCTTGTTGTTGGCGTTGACAGCTAGGCTTGTCAGTGCCCCGCACGCGTGCTGCTGTACATCCTGGCTGGCGGGATGTGCGCGCATGGCTGCGAGCACGGCCTCGATGCCCCCGAGCCCCGCGATCTTGACCTTGTTGTCGGCGTTGACAGCCAGGTTCCACAGCGCTCTGCACGCCTGCTGCTGTACATCCTGGCTGGCGGGATGTGCGCGCATGGCTGCGAGCACGGCCTCGATGCCCCCGAGCCCCGCGATCTTGACCTGGTCGTCGGCGTTGACAGCCAGGCTCCACAGCGCCCCGCACGCGTGCTGCTGTACATCCTGGCTGGCGGGATGTGCGCGCATGGCTGCGAGCACGGCCTCGATGCCCCCGAGCCCCGCGATCTTGACCTCATTATCGTCGTTGCCAGCCAGGTTCCCCAGCGCCCCGCACGCGTGCCGCTGTACATCCTGGCTGGCGGGATGTGCTTGCATGGCTGCGAGCACGGCCTCGATGCCCCCGAGCCCCGCGATCTTGACCTCATTGTCGGCGTTGACAGCCAGGCTCCACAGCGCCCCGCACGCGTGCTGCTGTACATCCTGGCTGGCGGGATGTGCGCGCATGGCTGCGAGCACGGCCTCGATGCCCCCGAGCCCCGCGATCTTGACCTTGTTGTCGGCGTTGACAGCCAGGTTCCCCAGCGCCCCGCACGCGTGCTGCTGTACATCCTGGCTGGCGGGATGTGCGCGCATGGCTGCGAGCACGGCCTCGATGCCCCCGAGCCCCGCGATCTTGACCTCATTATCGTCGTTGACAGCCAGGTTCCATAGCGCCCCGCACGCCTCCTGCTGTACATCCTGGCTGGCGGGATGTGCACGCATGGCTGCGAGCACGGCCTCGATCCCTTTGTGTTTTGCAATTTGATCTCTTGATTTGATGTTTGACTTTGCCAGTTCTCCCAGTATTTTGCATGCATTTATCTGTATATTCTCATTCAATGGATGTTCCTTCACATTCTTCCTTTCCATTGCTCTTATGACAAGCTCTATTCCTATCCGTTGCATCTTGCCCTTGTTTCCAGGTCTTTGCAGCTCCTTCAAGATTCTCACGATCTCCTCTGCGCTGCTCGCTTGCTCCAGTTGGTCTATCACGTGCTGTCTTGCCATGGAGCTGCTCGAGGTCTGGTTGGATGGCGACACATGGCTGGATTTCTCTTCTGAGCTTTTCGATTCTTGACCACCACCAGCACCAGAGTCTGACTTGTTTGCCTGAAGCTCCTTCTTCCGAGCTATTCCAACATCGCCTGAGTCAGCTCCCAGCTTCTCCATACTTGCCTCTGTTGGCGCTACAGCATTCCTACCAGCCTCGCAAGCTGCTGCATCGATTTTGCGACCGTCTTGATCTTCATCATGAGGTTCAAGTCCTCCTGTCTTGACTTTCTTTCGCTGAGGTCCCTCATCTCCTGGTGGTCGATCGTGAGTGTCTTCCCGTCTGCTCCATGTGATCACATCGCTCGACACCCGAGCCAGCAGGTGACTCCCAGGGCATGCAAACCGAGACAGGTCCTTGACATTCGCATGCAGCGAGAGGTTCCAACCCATCCAGAAGTACAGCTTCTTGGTGAACTTGATCGCGTCCTCGTCTGCTACTGCTGCCTCGTGCCCGATCACAAAGTCCACATGCTTGATCAGCTCCTGCGCTACGATACCCGACCAGCACAAGTTGAGCACCACCAGACGCAGCTTCTTGCTCCCCTTGACCACGTGACTCAGAGACCTTGCAAGCTGCTCTGCGGAGATGCTCTTGCCTCCTATCTCGATGTTGCCGCTCTTGGTGCCATGGCAGGCCAGGTGGAGGATGACGGGCTGATGATTGCCAATCTCACACATGAGGTCTCCGAAGTCCCGGTAGAAGCTCGACTCAAAGCTCACGCTCTCAGCAAACTTGATGAACGCCGCGTCGCCTTTGGCGCGAGCTCCTTTCATGAACTCCTCTCTGATCTCCTCAACATCCAAGTCGCTGCGCTCCTTCGCGTCGGCGAAGAAGAGGACCTTGTAAGGGAGGTCGGATGAGAAGAGAGGGTCGTTGGTATCGTCTGCTGCATGGTCGAGCTGCTGGTCGATGCAGCAGACGCAGATCTTGCCAGCCTCAGCCATTCGCAGTAGCTGACGGCTCGTGACAGGTGTCTCGTTAAAATCTTGCGGTGGTTTGAAATTCTTCTTGGATCTGGCAACGTACCTTGATTTTGTGACCGGTACTTTAGACGAGGTTTCGCTGATTAGACCACCGGTACATGAGACTGCTGTCCTGATTTCGTGACTTGATTTGGCTTTCAACATTAGGGGAGCATGAAATCATTTCTCAGCACCTTTTATGTGAATATTTGAAGTGCTTGGAGGGAGATTGAAATTGGAAGGTCGCATTTGACCGTGGCAACCTACAGTCCTTTTTCCCGGTTTGTTGACCGAAAAAGAAATAGTTATGTTTTATTGACTGAAAAGAAAAAGAAAGGCAAACGGCAAAGGAGGATGAGAATAAATCCAACAAACCCGCCTCAACAAAAGACTAGGAACGGAGGAGGCAGCAAAATGCGCTGCTCCAACCACGCAAGCGATGACAGGCACGACAAGCGGCTGTCAGGTTCAACTGTCTGCGATGATGGGAGACGAAGCTACTTGAGGCAGGAGGGAGAGATGAAGAGGAGAAGACAGGCAGAAGACAAGACGACGACCGTAGGGGAGGAAAGAAAGCATGATAGAGCGCGCACCTGTCTAGATGATCTTGTGAGAGCTGAGAGAGGCTGCTAGATGAACGAGTCGAGAGCCGCTCGATATCCACCAGAGAGAAGAGTAGCGATGAGAGGAAACAACTCCCTCGACCGGTGAGCTCCTTGCCATCGTCTCATCTGCTGCTCACGTCTCCCAAGCAGCTCCCGCATGTCCTATGACTGTGTGACGGACAAGAGAAGAGCAAAGGCAAGCTGCCTCTCCAAGGTGACGCCTGCTCGCCCTCTCTTGGTGCTGCTGACGCACAAGCATCGCGAGCAGACGATCTCTGCGGTCCTCGCGACCGAGCAGGAGTCATGGTGGATGTCGAGGATACGCGAGATGTCGTGCAAGGATCTCAAGAGCATGGTCAGGATCTCAGCGCTAGAGCAACAGGTGACGAGGTCGACGGCTGTGGCGGAGACGATGCTGAGGGAGGTGCTGCAGCTTGTGGGCGAGCAGACCAAGATGAAGATGCTGGAAGAGAAGCTGAGGTGCGAC